ACTTGAAACGTAGAAATTCACAACCCATGTAATTCAGCCACGTCATTGGCGGCTATACAAGGCTGAAGCTAAGCGGACCTAAAAAACGCCATCTATGGAATCATGCAGCCACAATGGACAGGGGTGTAACGGAAAGTACACAAACGGCAACTCCGAATGATAAAGTTAGTATCATCCTTGATATGCATATCAGTTTCAATTATTATTATTGCGTATGTCAGGGAGAAAGCCGGGATGTGGGGGCGAGACTCTGCACTACGGGGGATGGCGGGTTGCACCAACAGCCACGAAATGCAGGGGGCCTAGAATGGAACTGAAGTCCTCACTGCCCCCTTAATTTGATGAACCAATTAATGATTGCAGGGAATGGCCGTGGGAGATGGAGACAGACTCATGGCATATTCCAATGATTCCATGGGGTGTTCCACTTTTGGCTCACTTAATCCCGCACAGATCAATCCCCGCGTTTCAGTGGGGGTTATCACTCAATGTCAAATTCGTTGTCGAGCCAATGCTTCACGACGATTTTGCCCTCTTCGAATCCCTTTTTCGCCATTCGCACAATGATGGCTGCATGGCTGTGCGAGTGATTATGGATCCATACCGGGTATTTTCGGAATCCCACGGAATTGAGTGATTCGACGATGGAGAATTGAGCTGGCGTTAGAGCCAGTGTGGAATTGCTTTTTTTGTCGGGTAACGTTGGAGAAGTTTCGTCTGGTGTATCTGTTTGATTTTCAATGGGCCCAGTCTTGCTGATGGCGGGTGTTCGCAGGAGTGATTCTTCCTTTCCGACACGGTTACGAGCGTTTGGTAGGTAGTCCGGATCCTGCATCACGGTTGCGCTCTCAAAGGCTTCTTCAACTGCATTTTGCATGCCCTTCACAATAACAGGCACACGGTAGTTGGAAAGAAGTACTCCTGCCTTTCCGTCCTCATGGAGGCGAATACGCTGGCGACTGCGGTACGTCTGTACTGCAGCATTTACGAGGTATAGTACAGCGCCGATGGGGACAAAAGCCACGACTAGCAGCGAAATTGCCACCTGAGTCAATGTAGCTTTGATTTTTTGCCATAGTCTAGAAACGAATGAGGGCGGCTCTTGTTTGCTCGGAGGCAGAAAGGAGTCATCAGGATCAATGACCACTGGCGCATAGCCCTTCACATAGTTGACGTTCACGTTCTCCAGGTCCTGGAATGGGTTCGTCGTGGAAAGAGCGGTCGTGAAGAAAGCCGTCGAACGATCGTTGACGATATTCGCATATACTGAACGATTTCTGAACTTCGCAAGAGCTTGAATGAAGATGCTATCCGGATCAGCGAGGATGCTGAGCAGAGGCCGTCCCGAACCTCGGAACTCATCCACCATGAACAGTTGCCTGCCGGACATGGACAGCGTCCGGGCGCCCAAGCCATTGAAAATATGGTCTCGAATACCCTTAAGTGGCATTCTCACACCGACATGTGGCGACACAAACGTTGTGAAATTGACGGGCTCCAGCTTGTCGAACCATCCTCGAGCGTGTAGCAAACCCAGCGCATATCTGGCGACTAGACCTCCCAGAGAATATCCGATAACACTCAACTTTTTGATATGGGTCCCCTCTGCAGCCAAGGCACTCAGAGTGTCTTCTATCTCATGCGCCAATCGCTCCCCTCCGAGCTCGATTCCATCGTAGGTAAAATTCCCAGAATTTCCCTTCGCGGCGAGTATGTAGAGGCGGTCTTCTCCGTAACGCTCTCTGAGAGACGCGGCCAGATAGTCCAAATGGGATGGATTGCCCCAGAGCCTGGAATATGAATCGCCACAGTCAGCTATCCATGTATCTTAACGGACGAAGAAACGCCATCGTGGCGGCAGGTGTAAGAGCAAGACTTACCCATGGACTAGTACACAAAGATGATCAACCTTCTGCGACATTTCATCGATTGTTAGTTACCATCAATTCCCTTTTGTGAGCAGTATCGCAGAAAAATGGCTTAAATTCCTGGTCATGGTCAGTTACTTAATATACCAGGTCTTGTGGAACTTATCATCCAGAAGTTCTGCCTGATCTCATTGATCACCGGAGATAAGGGGATCTTAGCGCCACCAGTGGCTGATAAATCAGGCATGTTTGTTCGGTTTGCAACTTGCTCATCGCTTTGATGAGTTCCAATGACCAGAAACACCTGCTCAAATGGCTCGTCCTAACTCAACCCTGCGAATAATCCTCCGATTATATCGACCCAGAGCTCCTATCAGCTGATAGATTCCTGTTTCTTGGATATCTGCCATATCAAACTCCAGCCAGCTGTGGTGGCTGTTCGTCACATCATTTGGGACACGGGACACGCCTCCATATCGCCATTAACGAGCTTGATGTTTTTTGAAAGCGAGGATATGAATATGTGAAAGCTGATGCTCTCAGCTTCATGTGCATAGTAAGGATTAATGCGCTAGCAGTGAAGAGTGCTCCTCAGAATTTGCCTCGGACATAAGCATCCGACTCAATCCTAAGTAGAGTCAGCAAGGAAGATGCGTCCTCAGGGTCACTTCTAATTGATATGGATTTGGACTCACTTGCTCCATCTAACCGAGCTCAGTCTACTTTGATTACAGTTTCACTTCTCGAGATTTGCATCTGACCTTGAACGCCACCTGTATCGGTGTGACATCTATACCCAGGTTGATACTGTATCATCATGTTTACGCCTCTTGGGCTGTTCAAGGACGTTCCTTGTCCGGAAGGTCAACAATGCCCTCTCCTAACCTGCATATTTTCTCACAATCCCGTGAGCTCTTCCCTAGTTGATCAGAGCAATGCTCAAGATGCGCCTGTAGCACCAGAAGTGGCGTATGAGTCCGGCCCGCCTCCAAAAAAACCTAGGCTGGAGACTCCACCGAAGACTACCGCGACAAAAGCTCAAACCTTGTCAGAGCCTAAAAGGGAATCTATGAAACCCGCCCCTGCTCCAAAGGCTATGACGGGAAGCAAACCAGAGCAAACAGCTGGACGCGCTGGTCAGCTTCAGTCGATGACCCGCGAAGTCTCCCCTCCAACATTGCGAAAAGAGTCTTCGGCAAAGAACCATGCTCCTCCCGCATCTATGGAAGGCGAAGCGCGTTTACCACCAAGGCGAGCTCCCCGGGAAAGTTTGAACCCGCGCATGCTCCCGAAGGCACCTGCGACTCATGGTGTGCGACTATCTATATTGACAAAGCTCCACGCCGCTATGTGTGCCCTCAATGAGAAATTAGCAAAGGAAGAAGGGGGTACGGACAATCCATTAGTCTTATCTCCCAATGAACTTGTGACAATGGCGCTGGATGAAGAGGAGAAGGCGGCAAAAGATAACCCGAGCATATATGCGAACGTCATCAAACTTCGGATTGTTAAGCTCCCAAAACTGAGCTTAGAAGAGTGGAAGAAGGAAGTGAAAGCTCATCTGAATGAGCGATATTATAAGATTGAGCCAACGCAGCAGAACACTCAGCAAAAGGCACTTGAAACCGGACTCAGCGCAAAGGAAGAAATTGCCGTTGCTAGCAAGTTGATCACTCCTCTGGAAGGACTCGAACAGTATGGTTACGTGACCAGGAAGCCTACAAAGGAAGAAGTTGAGAGTGCACGGAGGGGAGTCAGCGAGTCAAAAGGCTGGGAGAAGTGCGATAGATGTGGCGGACGATTTCAAGTCTTTCCCGGCCGTCGCGAAGATGGCTCATTGACCACTGGAGGTCAATGCACATACCATCCTGGCAAGCCATACTACCCACCGAGAAGACAAACTGACCACATCACCGGTGCTAGAGAGGCATACTTTCCCTGCTGCAACGAGTCCATCGGGACTTCGTCTGGCTGTACCAAGGGAAGCACGCATGTGTTCAAAGTATCTGAATCTAAACGCCTCGCTTCTATCCTCCAGTTCGAAGAGACACCGATCCAGACCGATAAAGGGCCCCAGCACCCGGTCTGTTTCGATTGCGAGATGGGATATACAACTCTCGGACTTGAGCTCATTCGTCTAACGGCCGTCAGCTGGCCTCAAGGAAACCTGCTTTTGGATGTTCTCGTTCGACCCATGGGCGAAATTCTGGACCTCAACTCGCGCTTCTCAGGCGTGTTTCCCGAGCATTACAAAAAGGCAGTTCCCTATAAGGGCACAAGCAGCCCTTCCGCTGCTGAAGATGGCGCCTTGCAGGTCGTGGAATCACCAGCCGCAGCACGTGCGCTGCTATTCAAATTTTTACAGCCCGATACGCCTTTGATTGGACATGCAATCGACAACGACCTCAACGCTTGCCGTATTATACATCCAACAATCATCGATACCGTGCTCCTCTACCCGCATCCACGAGGGCTGCCGATTCGCATGGGCCTCAAAGCTCTCGTCAAGAAGTATCTGGATCGAGACATTCAAACAAGAGGCAGTCAAGGTCATGATTCCAAAGAAGACGCGATAGCGACCGGTGATTTGGTCAGGGTCAAGGCTGCCGAAACATGGAAGATCTTGAAGTCCAAAGGATGGCGGATAGAAGACAGCAAGCTCATACCTCCGCCTGGCGCAAAGGACGCGGCAGAGGATTCGAAGCTTGGGCCTGGAGCCGGCCACAAAAGAAAGGATACGGAATGATGGCTTGAAATCAATGATACCCAAGAGACTTCTGAAATTAAGCATATACCGAGCATCTACACAGACTTGAAGCATAAAAGAGCCCTTCGGGCAATAGTTCGAGTCAATTCATATCTACCAGTCATAACGTCATGAGTAGAAGAAGGAAAACTCCCCACAACTGACAAGCCCAACAAAAACCGGTGGAACACAACCTTTTCAGGTATTGTGAGTCAACCCAATCCTGGAGCCCAAACACCAGTAGCCGGAACGTAATCCTCCATCGACCACGCCTATCACTCGAGCAGACCCACAGCACGTTCCCGTCTGAAAGAAGTTGCTCCCCTCATGCGAGTGTCCATGAATCCAAAAGATTGAACTTTTTTGATTCGTTATTGAGGAATAATTTACTCCTCCTCCTCCTCGCCCTCATCGTTGACGACGTTGTAGAAGCGGAGCTCGTAGACACCCTTGGAGGTGGAGACAACGCGCAGCCAGTCACGGAGCTGCTGCTTCTTGAGGTACTTCTTGGTCCTGCGCAACGTTAGATCCTTGATTTCTCAGGCTCAAAGCTGTGCACAATGGACTTACAGGTACTTGAGGTAGCGACCAGAGAAGGGGATGTGAGTGACAACCTCGATCTTGCCCTCACCAACCTGGGAGATGACGACGTTGTCACCGAGGTTGCCAACACGGCCCTCAACCTTGATGCGGTCGTGGAGGAACTTCTCGAAGGCAGAGACATCGAAGATCTTGTCGCTCGCGGGCTGCGAAGCGTTGATGATGTACTAGAGGAATCAATGTTAGCAACCCATCCGTATGTTGAATGTTGAATGTTGAATGCGATCATTGCTTACCTTCTTGGTGACCTTCTGGGCCTTGCGACCACGAGCCTATTACCGAGAAAACAAAGCCATTAGCCTACTGTTCCATAAGTCGAATCCTGAGGAGGTCCATGATGAACATCTTCCGTCTTACAACTGCTGATTTGTGGGAAATCCGCGATTGTAGACAAGAAGCGCACCATGTCCAGTCCTCATGGAGGAACAGCAAAGCAGTTTGTGGAGTGATAACATACAGCAACGGGGGCCATTGTGACTGATGGGGGATTTTTTTGGGAGGATGAAGAAGGATTATGTGGTCGCAAAGAGGTGATTATCCTGCGCCTTGAGAGAGGAGTGTAGATGAAACTTTTCGCTCGCAGTGGTGTCTCACTGTGATCGCATATGGTTGGCGGTGCGTATGACTAGACTGGTTTAGGAAATAGTCAGGGCTTGGAACTTAATATAGGGCTTGACTTTGTCAACTGACCTTGCTGACTGAGCCTCGCTTGCGTCGCAAAAAGACGAGGCTAGCATGCTAGTGCCGCACGGACCAATTCTACCGAGTATATATACCCCGGCGACCCCCCATCCTTTTAGACTTTTTTTCTTTTCTTCTCCAGCTCTCTTTGCCTTTTGGCTTAGATCAAGTGTAGTATCTGTTCTTTTCAGTTTAATCTCTGAAAGTGTTCTAAGGAACACAACATTGATTAATCTCATTTTTGGACCCAGTGGTGAGGCCTCTGTGCTTGCGCATGCCTCGCCACACAGTGTCATCGGGCTTACACTACCCCCGATTGACGCGAACTACTTTTTTTTCATCAATCTGGCCGGCTTGCCCGACCGTTTGGAGAAGAAAATATAGTTCTTTTTTGAGGTATTGGATGGCTGGTTGGGGCTTATATGATATCACCTGTACCTTAATCTGTAGATAAAAAGAAATTCAGTTGAGTGTTAAATCTGCGCGAACATTCCAGAAGCTTTTCTCCTGATTTCCTCTAGCGTATTAAGGAACATTCAAGCTCAAGCTTCCATTGTTTGCAGAGACTCGACTGTGAATTAATCTCACGTGACAGCAACGCTGGAGATCATCTACAACAACCCATCTGCAATATATCCTCTATTGAGTAGCACATCACAACATGGGTTCCGTTGTCTTGCCACATCTGCGCTCTGCCTGGCACGTTGATCAGGCTATCCTCTCGGAGGAGGACAGACTTGTGGTATGTGAGCAAATTTCGTTCGGTTGGTTCCTTGACCAATTGACTGACGGCGGCCATTGGAAACGTAGGTTATCAGATTTGGTCGGGATCATGACGTTGATTGTAAGACTGCTGCCCCTTTCTCCTTTTCGATGGACAATACACAATACTGATCTCGGACAGGCATGCGCCAAGATGAAATGCTCTTCAAAATCGCTGAGCGTGTGAAGAGTAAGTTTGGTCTCAGGTGTTCTCTTTTCTCAGCCACAGGCGATGGTACTGACATCTGCGATCAGACTTCGCGGTAATCTACCTCTGCGACATCGACGAGGTACCTGAATTCAACTCCATGTATGAACTTTTCGATCCCATGACGATCATGTTCTTCTGGAGGAACAAGCATATGATGTGCGATTTCGGCACCGGTAACAACAACAAGTTGAACTGGGTGCTTGAGGATAAGCAGGAGTTGATCGACATTATTGAAACTATCTACAAGGGTGCTAAGAAAGGGCGCGGTCTCGTCGTGAGTCCTAAAGGCAGGCTCTCCCTTTTGTTCTGGATCTGATTCGGGCTTGTAAACTAACGATTTTACAGACTACTCGACTAGATATCGCTACTAGACGCTTTCATTTGATTGGCTCCGCGTGTAGTCTTGCTCAACGCAGAGCCCATTCTTCTTTGTTGTTTGAGGGGCCTTCAGTTGCGGCATGTCTTTCTGTTCTATCCTCCCTTGTTTATGAGATGCGACTACGAATCATGAAATTTATTATGATGCGAGTGCCTTGTTCCATATGGATATCCACTTTGCAGGACAGGTCGAGAAACTTTTCTGCGCTGTGCTCATTTCAAGTATACAAGAAACTACAATCATGACATGATCTTGTGTGGTCTATTGACCAGAACTATTCTGACAGACGTATGCCAGGGCAACCAGTATCTATTTGTGCACCTAAACACCTGCAGGATAGATATCTCGATTTGAAAGTTTGCAAACTCTCTCAAGACCTTCTTATAGACCATTCAGGATTCCAATCTTAATTTTAATCTGTCTGGTTACCTCGAGTGCCAAATTATACCTGCAGCGGACCTGTCTTCGAAGCCTTATCTAGGGTACGGAGTAGCCAAGAAGATAAGGCTTCAAAGTAGCCATCTTGAAAGTGCTAATAATCGTAGCAGTACGCACCTAGCCCCAAACAATGCGCTTGCTGTGCCCTTTGCACCTTTCGAACTATATTTCTGAAGTTTCGATTCCCTGTCGTAGTCACGTGATGCAGTTGTGTTTCTTGCGCCCTAGCCAAACGATTCTATATTGATATTAACCAACCTCATGCTGACCATCGCCAAATGTCAAGTCCAGGATGGCATTTGGTCCTTGGATTGGACCACTGCGGCTACTTTTGACGACATGGTCTACCTTCAAGAATTGGATATGGTCTTGGATGCCTTCGTTGCCACGCCTGATCGCTCGCCCCCCTGTTGGAGATGTTGAAACGGTACGATATATTCCCTCATTTTGTCTGTAAAGTCTTCACTGACTATTCAACAATAGGGAGTATCAAATTTAAGCGAGGAGCATTCGAATGAAATCGGACACGACAAGGTCCATTCCAGTACAAGGGACGCTCAAGGCCAGTTTATCTCGGGAGGGATCACCGGGATAGTGGAGCTCCTTGATGATGGGACTGCACTCAAGTCACCGTTTCCTGATTCTGAGATTGAAAGCCATATTTTAGACATCGCCAAAGAAGCCACCATCTATCGTCGTATTGGACCACACAAGAGGCTCGTTCGGCTGCTGGGTCATTCCAGGGATGGTCTCGTGCTCGAGTATATGCAAAATGGTGATCTCAAGACATATCTCCAAGCTCATGACTCAATATCGATGAGCCTCAAATTGAAGTGGGCATACCAAGTTGCGGAGGCTGTCGACCTCTTACATAGGAGCGGCGTAATCCACTGTGACATAAAACCACGAAACTTTCTCTTGGATACGGCTCTCGACATCAAAATCATTGACTTCTCTGGCTCTTCAATAGATGGATCGAAGCCGGCGTCTGGTGAGGGCACCAGATTTTTTCTTCCACGGCACTGGAGAGATCAACCCACAGTGACCACAGATCTATTCGCACTAGGGTCGACCCTTTACGAGATCTTTCAAGGTACCAGTCCCTACGAGGAGATACCTAGTGACGAGGTAGAAAACCTTTTTACACAGAAAGTGTTCCCTGATGTCTCTGGTATTCCATGTGGACAAATCATCAAACAATGTTGGCTATCTCAAGTCCATTCGGCCGCGCAGGTGCAGACTGCTATCGGATATATTCTTTTTCGCGCTGTCAACGTCGACTGTACCCCTCATCTCGATGATTTGGACATTGGTCAGGATGCGTCGATTGACCGAGCGGTCTCTCCTTAGGATTGGGACAATCCACTCCAGTCTGTCTTGCTGGGGGACATCTGCTTAGAGTTCTTGAAGTCGTGTCGCATGTTGAAGGACAGCCCCGGTAATGTTTCTTAGACACAAGGATGTCGCACATTCTAGAAGCTTTATATTATTAACTATCAAGAATGACCTTCATCTGAAGGTATAATACCTTGAGTGCTCTTGCGGGTCACTAGGCAGAGAGGCAGCGATGGAAGATGTGAAAAGATCACACCATTATAAAGAGCTATGTAATTATAGCTGAAAGGTAGGACTTTCTTCTTGTACATAGCTATATAATAGACAGGCAAAAGCGGGGTAATGATGCTAATCTAAAAGGGTTAAACAATATACGACATGTTTATGTAGGCTATTCAAGGACTAGGTAAGGAGGTGTTGCTAGGACCTACCAGGGTTTAACTATATCGTGTTGCTGTATCAGTACCCTATTCATATATACTGTGATAGTCTATGTGTTAAAAGCCTCTCTAATTATAAAAGTTGATCGGTTTTATGGGACTGTTGAAAGCCTCCTTAAGTATAAAACCTGCCTACTAAATAATAGGTGTTGCCGTACCCATGGAGAAAAACTGAGGCCTGTCGCCAGAAAGACACTGTCAGAAGAAGGCTGGCATGTGATCACTAATCTTTAACTTGCAATGTGATAAATATGGATGCTCTCTTACTAATGGCACTTCCTACACTAAGAAAGCCTATCTAACTGGATGCCTTAGCAATTTAGTCTTCTCCTTTCAGATATTTTTATAACAAATGTTGATGGGGACTTAAAAAGTAGATGGATTAGGCTGGCATGTACTTCTCCGTAGCTTAGTCTTCAGGCTTCGGCCCGCAGTTTCTTCACCACTTTTTGTTGACGTAACAATCTACCAGACAACGCAACAGCTCAGTCAACATTGAAGTAGTAGCAACAGCGAATCTGAGATACCTACAACATTTCAAAAATGATCGACAACGCGATCTTTGAGAATCTTCAAGCGAAGATTGACGAAGAAACCGCCGTCCGCGATGTAAGGTCCTAAGGCGCTCAAAAGCTCGACATACCAAAGCACAAGTAATGAAGAATAACTAACAGCCTCGCAGGAGCTCCACGAAATTGTCCAATCGCTTTCTAAGAAAGGTTCTCTCCGCAATCTCTACCATCTGGCCTTTGATCCTCCTGATTGAGGCGAGGTCGGAAGCTCCGAGCTCAGCTGACGTACATGACTGCGCACAGGCAGATCCACACAAGCTATACTCTCCCGAGCTCACTCCACGCCATCTGATCAATGTATGTATCACTGTTCGCAAACACATGTGCTCTGTTCATTGACATTGAATAGTGAAGCCGCTTCTTGATGATGCAACTAAAGAGATTATCGCTCAAAGAGACGAGGTCGCGCGGCTCAAGACCGTGGCGGACAAGCACCCGTTCTACAAGTACAACGGGGTGTGGACGAGAGAGTTGCAGAACCTTGTTAGTCGCCTACGGATGCGTGCTCAGTGAGAATTGCTAAGATCCGAGACAGGTAACGTCGATCGAGTTATGTGCGTGGCTCGGAGGCCTCGAGGAGTACAAGGGTACCGGCTCGGCTTCGTTCTTGACCATCGAGGAAGTCGGGAAGTTCCTGAATGGTAAGTTGCGCTTCCTAGTCTTGGTTCGTGAGATTAGCTTTGTTCTGACATGATACATGCTAGTCCCGGTCAATCTGAAAGAGCAAGATGCCTTCCACCTGACCATCGAAGAATATCTCCTTGCACTCATTGGCATGGTTGAGGAATTGGTAGGCATTCTCCTTCACTGGTTTTGCTGCGGTAGCGATACTGACTCCAAATCAGTCCCGTCTAGCAGTCAACTCGGTGACTCTTGGTGATTACAACCGCCCTGTTCAGATCGGTAAATTTATCAAGGATCTGTTCGCTGGTTTCCAGCTGCTCAACTTGAAAAATGATATTCTGCGAAAGAGGAGCGATGGGATCAAATACAGCGTAAGTTGTTACTACTCTCTGGTGCTTTTTTGTGTATGCTTGGCTAATGGACATGTGGCTGTAGGTCAAGAAGGTTGAAGATGTGGTTTATGACTTGTCTTTGCGCAATCTAATTCCCAAGGGAAGTGCTGCGGCTTAGATACTGCTATGCGAGAGAATTACAGTCCAGGAAACGCAACCAATCGCGCAAGGTACAAAGCCAGCAACATTACATTATAGGCACTGTAGCAGGCATCGCTTGAATCTTAGAAGCGCACCCCTTGTAATGAAGACTCTGCAATAGTTGAACGAAATTGCCGAACCATATCACCTTATTCCTGTCTGTCCGATGAAGCTGAAAACATCAAACTGAAAGCTCATTCAATACTGGTATCCTAAACACGAATAATACAATCACAAGCATGGTATATCTGCTAATAGCCCGCCATCATTCCTTCACTCCCAGCAAGACTACGACAACTTAACCTGCTCGGTAGCCTGCTCGGTAGTCTCTCCCTTTCTCGTCGAAGCGGCAGTCCCCTCCTTCTTCGCCTTCTCAATCTCCTTCAGAATCGTATCTTCCAGCGATTCGGGCTTGGTAATACTAGCCCAGCGCCCAACGACCTTCCCATCAGCGGAGATCAAAAACTTCTCGAAATTCCACTTGACGCGCTTCAGCCCCATAAGTCCAGGCATCGTCTCCTTCATCCACGTCCACACGGGCGCCGCATTGTCGCCGTTGACATCCAACTTGCCCAGCACGGGGAAGGTGACGCCGTAGTTGACCTGGCAGAAGGACTGGATCTCGTCGTTGGAGCCGGGGTCTTGGCTGCCGAATTGGTTGCAGGGGAAACCCAGGATGGTGAAGTCTTCGGGATGCTTGGCTTTGATGGACTGGTAGAGGTTCTCGAGGCCTTTGAATTGAGGGGTGAAGCCGCATTTGGAGGCGGTGTTGACGACGAGGACGACTTTGCCTTTGAGGGAGGCGAGGTCGAAGGGTTCGCCCTTCTCTGTGGGTGGGGTAAGGTCAGCAAGACATTCTCATTGATTTTCGCTGGGCGGTGAATCGCAAAGGCGTGACATACTGTCGACAGGCTTGAAGTCGTAGAATGTCGTCGCGGAGGCCATTGTCTTGATGAAGTATGATTTAGGATATCGAACAAGGGACGTTTGAGTGTTGGGAAGTCTGTTTATAGGACTTGGTCGCGAAATATATCTCAAGGAGGAACAGCGAAATATAATGGAAGAAGTCGATAGTGAAGGCACTACTAATACCATTCTAGATCATCGGAGAACCGAGGCAGATCGGAAGGTGGGCCGTCGCGTTGTATATAAATGCATGTCCGTTGAGACCCTGAGAGGGGCGCAGTCGGACGTGAGACCATCCGATGCCGATGACGATGTCATCGTCCCATTGAGGGATAATTATCAGATTACGGTACCAGACAAAGATCAGCGACCAATTCCAAATCATTTACATTAGTCTTAAGATAAGACGGATATTGCGGTTCCGAATTCTTCTCGCTGACTTTTTGTCATCGCGACGGTTCTAGACATCGGATTATTGATCTCTGCAGAGGCTGGGCCAAGACTATTGCAACCACGGATTATTAATGTCTTGACGATTCACTCGTAGCCATTCATATTCTAAGTCACAAAAATCATTATCACTGCGACCACTGCATAATATATGTAAAGGTTGCTACATGAAGCGTCTTATGAATTAATGCATGCATGTGTCATGAGATTTAGAATGTTGAGGGCACGCCCAGTTGCTCTTAGGCACTGCCACATTGTCTTGCATGGTAGAAATCTGGAAACATAAATTGACCAATAGATCGTTCGACAACTCGCATATCAGATTTCACAGCTTTCTTGCACGTTCACCGAGGAACCATACAACCAACAAGAATGCAAGCAGATTTCTCTCAACAACTGTCACACGACACTCGACGGTACCGTAGCGTCTTTTCAAGTGTAGGATCGTTGATTGAGCATAAAACCCTTGGATAACCCAACAGCATTCGGCCCATGTACTTCCGTGCATTCTCGCACTGGGTAAACTGTGTCCGATCGGACAACCCTTCTGCACTCTGGCAACTTCAAATGTCTGGGCCATCGCAGCGGAGACTGGCCAGTTCGGTCTCTCCCAAGCGATCCCAGGAGCATGAACGCAGGGAGCCAACCGGATCGCCTTGATCGATAATAGCGAGGCGCTGCTCACGTAGTGCGTTACGACCGACAAATGATCGGGTCTCTCATCGCTTCTTCGTAGCAGTCACGCCTCATTTCTCCTCCTCCTCTATCTCCTCACTCAAAACATCCACATCGAGCTCCTCCATAACTCCGAGAACTACCCCCAAGCTCTCCATGAACCCGTTAACAGCCACACGAAGCATGCGATTCGTCGTAGCGCGGTACGTCGTCTCAAGGACTGTCTTCGCCGCGTCGTCCTCGTCAGTGGTGGACTTCTGAATTGGACATTTCAGGGCGAAACTGCGGCGGACGAAGGGGGATAGTTCGGCGTCGACTTCGAGGGCTTGGAGGGCAGAGGAGGCGAGGCGGTTGCTGGGGAGGGGGAGGGATATTGTTCTTTTAGTTTTGGATTTCGTTAGTGGGGTGTGTTCATGGATAGGCACGCTGGGGGAGGAGTTTTACAGTGAATAAGGAAATTCAGGATTGGTCGATTCGTTGGCAGCCATGATGAAGTCAATAGGAAATCAATTCAAACCGACTATGTGAATATGAAAATGACTACTGTTCGGTATGATTTTGTATGATTCTCTATGATTCTTGAATGTTAGAGAGAGTAAGGCGGGGAAGGTTTTGGGAGTAGCAGATGAGTCAGCATATTTGTGAAGTGCAGTCAATGAGGGCATATTTTCACCACATTTTCACACCATTTCAGCAACGAACTCTAGCTTGACGGTTGGCTAGGCTCTGTTGGCAGATAGCTAATGAGATGGTACACTATGGCTAAAGTCTATCCTACGACTAATGGAAGATTTGTCTTCGACACTCTTAAACGAGGTTGGACATAAAAGGTTATGAAGTTGACAAGGTACTGTACATGAAGCTTATCCACAAGATCCAGCGCCGTTTGGCAGATCAAATCGAACCGAAAGCGTGAAGTTAAAGAGTCGCGCTATACACCCACATGGTCATGGTATCCCGGGGTTTCTCGACGTACGTAATGCGTTTCACAAAGGTAGGTATTGGATTTAAAGGAGCCCCGCGAGGATGGAGGTGATGGAAGTAGGAGAGAGACCACCTGTGGACGCCTTTAGTAAGCTTGGCCATCACTGTTTGAGAATGGCAACTTACCAGCCTGGCCGATAGTGTTGAGGACGTTCTCGACACCGGCAGCGTCAAGGACACCTAAAGACGCAATCAGTAGATGCAAATTACTGACGGAAAAAGTTACTTACCGCTCTTAACCTTGCTGACCAGGTTCTGCGCAAGGATGTTGACGCCGACGGCTAATTATTCGTGTTAGCCGCATTGATTTCTGCCCAAGGATGTTGACTACATACTGCCGGTAACAGTCTCGACGGCACCAGAGGCAATGTTCTTAACGGTGACAACAGCGCCGCCAGCAGTGTCCTTGACGGTGCCAACAGCGCCACCGACGACATCGGTGACAGGCTTAGCAACACCCTCAACGGTCTTGACTGCGCCGCCAGCGACATTAGTGACGGGCATAGCAACATTGCTAGCCGTGCCCACGATATCACGCTTGCTGGCAACAGAGACAGGGACGAGCTTGGTCAGCTGGCCCTTGATGTCGGTGAGTTCTAATGGACAGAATTGGGATTAGCGAGGCCGGACTATGCTTTTGGATGTTTCGGAGAGGTTGTTTCAGTAAAGGACATACCGGTCTGGACCTGGGTGAGGTCGACCTCCTGGCAGACGCCGCCGAGGAGACCACCGACGAGACCCTCAACATTGTTGAGGGCATTGTTCAGCTTGCTCAGGGTGGCATCAACAGGGGTCTGAGGGATGGCCAGAGCAGAGACAGAGCTGGCAACAGCCAGAGAAGCGACGATTCCAGTGAACTTCATGGTGACGGTTGGTTTTGATTAAAGACTAGGAATTAAATGAGTGACTGAGAGTTGTGGGAAAGGAGTGGATGGTCGCTGAAAGCAGGCCTTGAAAATGATTGACTGGAAAGAGTGGATTTGGCTGGTGTGAGGAGGAAGAAGAAAACGACTTGAAGCAGAGCAAGGCGTCGTTTTATATGCAGGTTTTCCCTCCCAGAGCAGATCACCTCCCTCCTGTCGTGGACCTCGTCCGCTCATGAGCTGCCTCGGATTCCACGTGTAGATCAGGGGCATCATGGCCAGAGATGTGAGTGATAGGTCATCACATCCAAAGCCGTCTGTTACATACTAGTCTAGCAGCTCGAAGACGACAGCGATCGACACGGAGAAGTGATGTTCTCAACTCACGTTCCACTATTGCCAGCACTACTAGGCTAGCTCGTATCTAGTCTGCTTGCTTCACTGAAACGTGTGCTCGGGTTATTATTGAATGAAGTCACTACACTCCAACATGGCCCCGCACAAGCTAATCTGAGTCCGAAGGAAGTAAACCTTTCAGTGGCCTAGGGGCGCCCGATTGGGACGACGACTATCAAACGATTGCACCGAAAGCGTGCTATGCAGACCAGGTCCATTCTAACGGGCACCGGTTTATCCACGATAGAAAGTTAAGAGGCCATAGCAAGGCTTGCAGCGCAGTTATTATCATCGCAGAATGTCGTGCTGGCCTGCACGCTCAATTTTGTCTTCTCAGAGATGTGGACTGAAGTCAAACTTGATTTTCATGATGTTTGCCAACTCATGAACACAGCAGTATAGACGGAAATGTCGGGTATTGAGCAGTCATTCCGGAGTATTATTTTCGTTTCAATGAGGTAACTTCAATAGTCGCAGTAGCAACCCAGTTGCTGGGCCTCGTTTATGACCCTGCGGAGGACGTTGAGGCAAAGCGCGTGGGGATTTCACAATGCTTTCATTTTAAAACAATGTCGATCCCTCATGAACATCTCCGCAGAGCCACCATGGATTGGAGAAAGAATTCAAATAAACGTCAACGGATTGCTTAACTTGAACCTTGAGCGTAAATAGTGTGGATTAGCTGGACGATCGTCAGTTGGTTATTATTGTTGCCAACTTGCCCCTAGTTGTCCAAGTCATTAGCTCTGCAGGATTCTGATCGGAGGATTATTAAGCCTTCAACCGAGAACGCCACATCTTTTACGCCTCATATGACAACAGATTGTCATCTATTCAAATTGTTGTTGTTTTCTAAGAAGACTCAAGGAGGATGATTGTTGATGTGAGGATGGAAAGGCTGAAAAGAGGGAATTGGATCAGCAAACCCTCAGGGACTAGCTACCTAGTATTCGCATTATCCCTGCTGATCTGCTCCACCTCTCGGGACGTCGCAGTTCGACTTTTGGGAAAATATTCCAGTTGACGAATCATGAAATCCACCCAGAGCAACGAGCGAAGTCTAATGTATCTCTTCCCCAGTGATAGTCATGTCGTGAACCTTCGGAGTTGGCCGCAATTGAGTAACCCTTCGCGGCCGGAGAGGAGGACCAGGTATCATATCCATTCCACTTTCATAATAGAGTTCGAAGACACGAGGGATTGGACTAACTCTAATTCTTTCATGGTCTTTGTCTGTTTTGGCTTGTGAGTCAAGGATCGATACTCAGTAGACTAGACTACAGCCTCTGCTTCGATGGCCAGTGAAACAATGCTGACCTACTGAAGGGAATTGCATCAGAACTCAGGAACGGACTAAAGGCATGATCAAGGGACTATTGCCATCGTGTCAGTTAGACTGAATTATACAAAGAGATCTTCATCATGTCTATCATAATTTTATATCTTTACTCATTTTCACTTGGTATCAGTGATATCATGAATTAATTTCAAATGGATCGACTCAGACGCTGAATATATTGTTAAAATAAAAGACAGCACCAGAAGCGCAAAATGAGACTCGCTATTCTCATGGCAGATAATGAATATCTCTATTACTCTCTGAGGAGAACCAAGCACTCTGGAGATGTTGTACTAACCTTCTGGTGATGCAGCTTGGAGGTGTTATGCCTTAGGTTCCAGTTACGCGCGCTTCAAGACATGCTATCACGAAACACTTGGACTCGTTGTTCAAGAGGCCGGTATTGTCCTGAGTTTAGCAGCAGTGGTCATGGTCCGCACGGTCGTCTGACAAGAACAAACATTTCCGTCCTCTATCTAGTAGCTGTCAATACGACCTCATAGCCATCGCCGTCCTAGCCAGTGTCTTCTGTAGGTTGCACCCTTCTGACTTGCTACCCGTATTTCATTGTTCACCAGCTCATCCTCAACAAACTGAGTTCCTTGGGTATCATGCTACCTTTGAAATTAGACTTCCGTTTCTGCTGGAGCCCAGGTCGCCATGTACTCTTCTTGTTGGGCATTCTGAACGCCTTTCCCCTTGGTAAGATGTCATCTGTATTATCTTTCTTGCTCGGCTGCATCTCATTTGACACTCGCAGCAGCTAAATCTCTCAGTTATACTGGCTGATTTCAACCCGAAACTCTTGTTGAAAACAATCCGTCATCCCATTCCTTTCCCTTTTCGTTCATACATTTAACTGCTGACATGACCCCGGGACATCTAGTCCACATCAAGATTCTCAATCCACAATCTATTCGAGTTTCCTAGGACACTACGCAACATTATCTCGAATACCATGGGCTTGATGAAAAAGAATTGCAACATTCGGGCATTGTGATTCTCTGTCAGCGACATACCACCATCCTTGCCCGGCGTCCTCTCCCACTGTGACAGCTTCTTGCCGAACCACCCGTATCTTCCTGAAATCACTGATGTACACCTGTTAGCCCAAAAACGGCAAAACAGCATAAGACGTTCCTCACAAGCCATCATAAAGCGATGCAGCAGCGACCACAACAGCATTTTCGGTTCAGACGACAGTCACCGTTGGGCTCGAGCCCATACTCTTCGCGACATGGAGAGCGTGAACTGGAGACCTGGTCGCAATCTCCAGGGAGACGTTCCGCGCCAATACCCAGCGCTCAGTTGGTGAGCGAAGAGACGATTCCCTTGAGGTACATTGATTGGGTATGTGATCGCTCAGCTCAGCCAAGACAACAGATTCGAAGGCGACTGCTCTAAGTGATGTGCTTGAGGTATCATTGCAAAGGTGCAACAGATGGTTTATATATCCTTGTTCATGGCAATTGATCAACCGATCAGTGCATCTGAATGGTCAAGCTCTCCTATCGGAGAGGCAGCTGACAGCTTGCGGTTACATTTAGCTTTCTTTGTCTGACGACGCGGAGCTCCATTTAGAGGTAATTGGTACAACAAAGTGACAAACAATAGAACCAGAAAAATCATTCACATCATATTGTACCCGGTTGCAGCCACTGTTCATAGTGTTTTCTACTTTACACCTGATCTGCGCTGTGCGTTGCCGCGGTAGATATGAGGCCTTGGGGTCGAGTTCCAAGTGAATATCCAAGGAGATGAAAATGGCAGAATGTGTATTAAAAGACAGACAGGCGCTACAGTTGTCGATAATCGGAGAAGAATGGTGATGCAGGACTACCGTCAGGAGCCATCCACAAGCGAGTGATGACTGAGCTATATATCTGAAGGACCGTCAACCGCTGCATGTGAGTGACATGGGACTCACAGCCCATAGAAACAGCACGGGCGAGATTCGATCATTCATAATGTATGTTGTTTACTATCCGGAACCCGGAAAACGCAAATTATCCCAGAGTCTCAAGACATGCAGCTCCGAGTTGATCGCTGGTGTCTCTGCAGTCTGCTCAGAAACTGCGAGGCTGAAATTGGAGGACTAGACGTGGCTGTGTGTTTTGGTTGTGGCTTGCATTGTTTTGTTTGCTTCATTTGCTTGTGGGGCAAAACACTGTCGGTTACATAAGCATGGCGGCCAAGATGTTTTCTTTTTGGTCAGTGCCTGAGGCAACTGCATTGTTGTCCTGCCAACTGCCGGCACTAAGCCACTTTAAGGGCATCATAACATAACAGCGGCCACTTAGCGTGCATCGCAGTTGCCCAAACGGTCTCATCGGCCTCGAGCTCTGGCTTTCTCCTCCGTCTCGTGCGGCCTCCGAAACATTATCTACTACTCTCTCTCCTCCTCGCTTCTACCTCTGCCCTAGAGTTTATCCTTCTTAAACCCCTCATCCGCAATCTCTCCATAATCCGTCTTGTATATCATCCTCTTCCGTGGGCCTTGTTGCCTCTTATCTTTACCCTACCTGCATTGTGGGTTGAAAGGCCATTCATCGGGCAAGAGTTGACAAAGAGCCGGATCATGATTGTTTAGATTGGATACATTGTCATCGTCCTTTTTCTCTATTATTCTAATCATTGACCGGCCGCGAGAAGCACTTCGAGCCGGTGCGGTGCCTTTTTGTGAAGAGACATTATCTTGTCCAGCCCTCACTCCGTTCGGCTGTCCATCTTATTTAAAGTGCATAAGCTAGCTGCTTTCGAGTGTTTGTCATCTGAAGAGCACAATGTCTGGATATATGGGCGGCCCGGGCCAGGTGATCGAGTATATCCAAGGTTCGTGCTTCTGTTTTGGTCCGATCTGTCGAGAAAATGTCACAGGAGCCCGACAAGTTGTCTCGTCCAATATGAACTTCACACTGTCTGACAAGCATTCTGACCACTTGAAATCGCAGATCGCCTGTACCTCGCTTCCTACGACTCCCCACCCGATCCAAAGGCTCCGTTCCCCTTCCCTCTCGAACAATCCAAATCTCCCAGCAAACGATCCGCGCGAGGCCAGCCCCAGACGCCTAGCAAGAAGCGGTACCCTGTGTATTTCACCGCAGACGATACTCTTTTTTACAACTCCTTCCATGCAGACTTCGGTCCTCTTCATATAGGACATCTGTATCGCTTTGCGGTCCATTTCCACGAGATTCTTGGCGAACCGGCGAACAAAGATCGCGCGGTGGTCTTTTACTCAAAGAGCGATCCACGGAGTCGTGCC